AGTAATTATTTTCAATTAGATTTTACCACAATTAAAATGATTTTATCTATTTATAAAATAGTCAAAAGTAACATAATTTAAATAAGATTAAGAAAATCTAAAACTAATTTAAATTGGATTAGAAAAATCTTATTATTTTAAAATATGTGACATAGTTTAATTAAAAATCTTTAAATAGAAAAAGAGAAAACAATAAATCGAATAACTTTTTTTATTGGGATAATAAGATGATAGATCAACGCGTACAATTAAAAGATATTCTAAGTTTGATTAGGACTAATAGTCGTTACATAATACACGTGAAACTAATGAGATTAGGTATAGAAAATCACTATATAAAGACTTCATGTGAGATTGGTGGAGAAAGTATTAAGGAAACAAACAAGAGAAGAGCTTCTTGCGTGAAAGCAACCTTAAACCCTAAGAGAAAAAAAAAAAGACAACCTTAACTAACCCTAAGAGAGAAAAAGGCGATCCACAACCATGGATGGAGAAGAGCCAATGACGTTTATGATGCTTCCTAATGATTTGGTATTAAATTGCTTTGCCCGTATTTCGAGGTTGTACTACCCGGCTCTCTCTTTAGTTTCCAATGGATTTCGCTCTCTCCTTGCTTCAACCGAACTTTACCAAACTCGAACCCTTTTAGGCCGCACAGAGAGTTGTCTCTACGTGTGCTTAAAACTCCCTAGTTATGATAGCCCACAACAGTGGTTCACTCTATGCCTTAGACCAAATAGCTCCGAGAAAGTTTTGGTCCCAACTGCATCTCCCAATTCTCCTTATACGTACCAGCCGGATTTCGTAAGGGTTGGTTCAAATATCTATGCCATTGGTGGATTCATGAATAGTGATAATGAATCTTCTACGGTCATGGTCATGGATTGTTGTTCTCACACATGGCGTGAGGCCCCAAGCATGCAGATCGCACGTATAAACCCTTCTCTTTGCGTTCTTGATGAAAAAATATATGTAACAGGAGGCTACAATAATCTTGATGCAACTAACTGGATAGAGGTGTTCGATACAAAGACTCAAACTTGGGAGTTTGAGTCGTCGGGTTCTCCTTATGAAATATGCAGCGGGTTTAGGTATCGAAGCCTAGGGTATGATGGAAATTTCTACGTGAAGTGTTTTCCGAAACATGTGACTTACAAGCTGAACAAAGGTAGATGGAGAGCTGGAGACTTATCTATGAGTGGGCGATGGTTTGACTCATCATCTTATTGTGTGATAGAGAACGTGTTATATAGCGGTGGTTCCGGGATTATCAGGTGGTACGACTCCCATAACAGATGGTGGAAATCTTTGGAAGGTCTGAAGGGTTTGGAAAAATTGTTAACGCGTCCTCTTTATGTTGAGGCTAAAGTGGCGGATTATGGTGGAAATTTGGTGGTTTTGTGGGAGGAAAATGAGGGCCATCCGGATAAAGTAATTCGGTTTGTTGAAATCGCGCTTAAAAAATGCCAAGAAGGGAAGATTTGGGGGACACTTGTATGGTTTGGCGATGTGTCTACTACAACCAATGAGCCATATAATGTAGTGTGTGCTCTTGCTGTTACACTTTGATTAGTCATGATCTTGTGAATCATTGAATTATTTGTTTCGATTTTCTTTAAATATCTATTTTTAGATAGTGTGTTTTTTGTTTTCATTCTGCTCCATTTGGTTTTGTGCTAAATCTGGAAGAGAGAGAGCACAATTGACTATAAAGATTTTGAACATGTTGAAGACTTTTTTTTTTTTTTTGGTCGAATATTATGTTCTATAGAGATATTTTATCTAGAGAATTTGTACTCTTTAACCAAGAATAATTTCATAATTGGCAAACTAACAAAGATAAAATATGAGTACTATTGAGACATATTTATGACTGTTATGGATTTGCG